AAGTGTTAAAAAGCAAAGATGTCACTTTGAGGACTAAGGTGCACCTGACCCAAGCCATGGTATTTTCAATTGTCTCATATGCATGTGAAAGCTGGACAATGAAAAAGGAAGACTGAAGAACTGACGCATTCGAATTGTGTTGTCACAAAATACAGAATATACTGCAGGCTGTCAGAAGAACAAACAATCTGTCTTGGAAGCAGTACAGCCAGAATGCTCTTTAGAAGCGAGGATGGTGAGACTTTGTTTTGTTTACTTTGGAAATGTCATTGGGAGGAACCAAATGCTGAAGAAAGACATCATGCTTGGTAAGCAGAGGGTCAGCGAAAAATAGGGAGACCCTCAATGACATGGATTGATACAATGGCTGCAACAGTGGGCTCTAACATAACGAATGCGAGGACAGAGCAATGTTTCACTCTGTTCTACGTAAGGTCGCTGTGAGTTGGGGGCAACTTGACAGCACCTAACAACAGGGTGTTATCCTTATAGGAAAAGAGATCAGAGAAATCTCTCATTTTAATAACCCTTGGGAAACAATACCTGTTTCACAGAAGTAGGGGCTATCTTTTAAAATAAATTCTTTCTGCTGCCCCTTTCTTTCTTAGACAATTTTCTGCTTTGTCTTAATCAACGGTGGGATAGTTGAGGAACTTGGGACCTTTTTTGCAGTCCTTGTGAGTCTCATTAGACAAGGTAGGTGTATATATCCCCAGGATCTAAAAGACTAGTCCTAGCAGCCTTCTTTTTACCTCCTTTCTCTCACGATACATTTCTTTGGATCACAATGTAAGTCCCTGAAGCAGGGACCAGTATTTTTTTAAAAAAAGATTCTTTGTTATTCCACTTTTATTCCTACTAACTTCTCCCACTCCCCATTTGCTATAATAATTGAAAGGGGCCTGTTCTCTGTGGCTCTAGTGGATGAAATGTAACATTAGCACCTAGACTAAGGTTTGGATCTCAGGCAGAAGTCTCCACTTCACACCTGAATGCTACAGCAAAAATAAATATATCTAGAATAGGTTCAGCATCCACCAGTGTCTTTATACTTAGGCAACAGCATGGAGGAAAAAAAAAAAAAAAAAGCCCTGGATTTTGTCTATCTGCCCCTCATTATCTGTTTACTCATTTGGTCATATTACAAACATTAGCTGAATGCCAACTATATTGCAAGGCACTACTGCAACGGACAAAAAATGAGAAATGGAAAAAGTATTTGTTTCATGACTACATACTGCTGTATTCACATAAGGCATAAAATGGGGAGGGGCTCTGTCCGAATTAATCCGTAGGAGTCACTGACAGTTCAGAGAACTCTATATTCTTTGGGCAGCGAGAGGGTCTAGAAGCTCAATACCAGTAACATTACACAGGTGGAAGGCAGTGAATCAGGCATGAGCTAGGCCCACTGGTAATCAAAGTGACACACTCTCTCCTCACTATCACCTCCTTGCTGGGTCCCCTCAACTCTGTCCCAACCATCTTTTTTCCCGATCAAACACCTCTATAATTTCTAGGACTACTTAGAGCAGACACCCCCAACAAATCAGCTCTCAGTACAAACTTCCATTAAAATGGAAAGTCTGAGGTTCTGATTCGAGAGACAAGGGGAACACTCCTTCCTCACAACTGGGTTAACCAAAGCTGGAACTCAAAGGCACATTGTTGAGAACAAGTCCCCAGTGTCTGGATCAGTAAACAATGTTCCTCACAGAAAAGAAAATCTCCACTGTGCCCCCACAGCTTCAGGTTCAGGCAGGACCCTTCTCCCTGCTCTGCTGCCAACCCCGCTCCCTGGAGCTGCTCCTGGGGACAGAGAAAGACGACCAGGCAGCAAGAGCAAGTCATGGAAAGCTTTACCTGCTGGAGTCTTTCTTCTTTGGGGTTAGTCCTCTAAGCCAAAGTAGCAGTTACTGGAAATTGGGCAGCCTCTGTTCAAGTTTCTGGGAATTCTGACCTTCGCTGATGCCAAAGCTGCATGATTTTTTTAAAAAAAGGAAATTTAAAATATTCATGTAAACTTCATTTCTAACCTAGATATTTAGAGATAAAGAAAGAAAAAAAAAAGAACTAACTATCATATGCTAAAAAAATATATGGATGAAGACCACCACAACTGGTCTATTTGCACTGCACCTATAGAGAGAGCTAGAACACCTCCCATTCTGTGTAAGAAACTCCTCAAGACCCTCAGGTTCAGCTAGCTAACTTGCTAGATACTCTCAAACTACTTCAGCAGGAAACATGTTCCACTATCAGCCATTAGAGAGGTCTTCAGACCGTAAACTGAGAATCTATCCCCTTGAATCTTCAATGATAGAATCTGCTCCTTTTACAGGACTGTTCATCAAGAACTTGAAACCAAGTGATGCTCACCCTCCAGAGACTTCTCTTCTTGAAGATAAATAACATCTAGTTTCCCTCATTGTTCCAGATTTCAGGTTCATCATACTACTCATCCTCCTGCAACATACACCCTCAAAGAGTAAACACTGGTCTGTGTTCAATCACACTTTTGAAGTAGACCAAATTGGGGTTCGAACACAGTGGAAAAATGGGAGCCACTGCCAGAGACAGTTGAATCACTCCTCCTAAAAGACTCCATTTATTGGGCTCCTGCGGGACTATCTTTGGAAATTGAGTTTGCACACCCCCTTCCCCGCCCCAGATCTAGTTCTAACTGCACACTTCATAGAACTACTGATTCTCTGATCCTTGGACCCAAGTAAAAATGGATCGCCTCTCCTGCCCGGGCGAGTAATTGTGTTAACATCAAATAAAAGTGCCTCGGAGAACTATTAAGTTAGGGTCGCTGTCATCAGTTGCTTCAAAGAGAACGGAAGACGCCTCTACCGGAACTTTTAAAGGCTCAAGATGGGCACTTTAAGTAAAAAAAAGCAGAACCGGAGCTCCCTTCCCGCCCTCCCCGCGCACGGCTCGGCTCCGGGGGAAAGGACATTCCCGGGCAAGTGGAGGTTCTTACACTTGGAGTCCGGCTGCGGAGGATGCAGAGACGCCTCCCCGCACGCTGCTCGGAAAGGGCCTGGGGGCTCCACGGGCCGCAGCGGCACGGACACTACCCCCTTCCCCTGCGACCACAGCCTCCATCTCACCGCGAGCCCCAGGGGCGGCCAGACTCACCCTGGGGCCAGGGACGGGAGATTTGGGGGGCCGGACACGGATCAGGCCCTGTCGGACCCTGTCACAAACACACACACCCGGGACAGAACAAAGAACGGAAGCTCTCTTCTTTTTCCTTCCGGGTCGGTCCTTTTCACCACCCAGCCCACCCCCGTGCCTCAACACCCACTTGTTCTCTCTAGGAAAGCAGGAGGTCTTCGCCTCTCGATGGTTTGCTGACCGAGTGACTAGCGGCGAGGACTGAGGCCCGCCTTTCACTCTGCCCTCCGGCCAGGCTATCCTCCGAGCCGGCGGCGAAGAGTTCGCGAACCCTGATGGCCTGGGCGTGGCGGGATGCCGCACAGGTGCAGGCCCGGCGGGCCGCGGCCCTCCAGTCTCAGGGCGCATGCTCAGCTACGAGTCGCGTTAGGGGCGGCGGGACGTGGGGCCTGGGGGGGCGGCTGGTTCTTCTCGGAAATTTTTCCGGGGGGCCGCCAAGGGCCGAGTAGAACGCAGGTGCCTGGGCTACCGGGACGACCCATGCACACCCGCAGAAAACAGGAAGACTCTTGAAGGATTCATCAAAATAAGATGAAATTTGCTTCCGTCCAAACTAAGTTTTTTAGTTTCATGTAAACATGCTTGTTTAGATTGTTAAACACCTCTTCAGAAGCCTGGACAGTGCTCTAAGATTTCTGGGTGTCTTATCATTAAATATACTCCTGCAAACCAACCTCATTAATCCCTCAAGAATGCCCCTTTTTGTTTTCCCAAGCACCTTGCCCACTTTGAAGTAACAGATGGTAGATGTTTAACCTAAAAGCGTTTTCCCTAGACCTGTGTCTTTAGGGTTTTATGTATTCCGTGTGACTTATCCTGCACTACTATATAACCTTCAAAGAACCAACTGTACATTCTTTCATCACAAAATTTTAAATGGCATATAAACAACCGCTTTGCGATAGTCGAAATAATTGTCTCTAGAACTGACTGCCCACTTGCGAACGTCTCTCACTAAGTAGTTGATCTCTGTCAGTCTTGTTGTTTTTAACAAAATTACTAAAATCTGAAGAAAACATTTGAATCCATCAGAGTTCACTTGAGGACAAAGCCTGTACAAGTGAGGAGAGCAGAAAAGATTTCAGGAAGTGGCGATGGAAAAAAAGCACGCAGAAAAAGCCCTTAAATGTAACAGGTATGTCAAGTGCTTTAGGGAAATGAGTGAGGAGCAAGGTTTTGTGGTTCGCTCACTTTTATGGCATCACAGGAGGAATCCTATAAATGTCTAAATTAAATCTTTACAGGTTGTAAACAAAACAAAATATTGTAATAATCCTGAGTAACAAAGGCCCTCCTGATTCCCACTGTAGTCCTTCCACTTGACCCCAGTTTTTACTGCATCCAATATTTATAGTGCACCCACTCAGCTCTGGAAATGCAACAGACCTCACTCTCTGGTGACTTCAGTCTAAGGACAGTAACTTAAATAACCAATGTCAGTAAAAAAAAAAAATACGATGTGCTAGGAAATGGTAATGAAGTGCAGAGCCCTGTAGGAATGGGAGAAGATTTTCCAGAAGTGGTGGGGCCATGAGAAGGAGGGGGAGTGTTCAAGGCAAGAGAAAACAATTCATAAGTAACGAATAAAACTTGAGGGTGACCTGAGAGGTGTGGGGGTGTGTCCTGTCTCCAGTCCTTCTAGACCCCAGGTGAGAACTTGAGCGAATACTTGAATAGCTAAGCCACGCAATAAACTCAATAGTTCCCCTTCAGAACTTGATTTTTTTTTTTCTCAACTTCTTATTCTTCCACTCATTCCTCTAAGACAAGAAGGACAGAGATAAATGATGAAGCACTGGGAAGGAGAGCAATGATGGAAGTAGAGTGAGGCTCCTCAAGTGGAAATGTTTGTTTTGTAAAAGTTCCAATGACGCTCCTCAGGGAACAGCTCTTGGGCTCCCAGCACCATCAGTACAATCAATCCTATTACTCTGGAGCTAAGTCATTTTGCGGTTTATCATGAGTGTTTGTCTCAGAACCTGACTCATTCATTCCCAGCCAATACTCAAAAGCCGGGCCGTTAATGATCATTCTTCTGAGTCTGTGCTCTCCATGGTGTAATGGTAGCCCGTGGCCAGGGTTGCTTGAGGAGAAGAGGCTGTTCTGATCTGGGTCCTCCTTTTTGGTTTGGTAGTGCGTGAGAAACTTTTAAATTTTGAGGTGCCAGCAGGTCTAACTGGGGGGATTTCAGAACTAAAATTAAGCCTTCCATTCGGAAATTAAACTGAGGGTTTTACTTCTACTCTCCTGATAGCATTTGACTTCTGTTAAAGTTTGCTGTTTGAAAAACAAAGTTCAGTCATGCTTTTTGGTTAAGGGTGTTCCTGCCGCTGGCCTTAGAAAAAGCTCCATTGAGTTGTTAAAGTAAATTAGAGCCTATAGATAAACATGTTGTTTTAACTGTCTTAAAAGAAGTTCCTCAGCAAGACCCTAGGTATTATCTCTTTTTCTCTCAGCTAAATAAGCAGAGTTTATTTACACTTTCCTAACTAACGGTCAGTTCTGTTTCCAATTAAGTTGGCCCAGCAGCAGATATATCACTAAACTTCCATGTCAAAATCGTTTATACTTTTCATTTTAGAAATATTGCCTTAGTTAAATTGTATTGAGAATAAGAGATTTGTGTTAGACTAGAAACTGACGTAAAGAAAGTTTTACAGTTACTGTCACCCTTGTAAATCTCACCTCCTTCCCTGTCATTGCTTTCATGTAAAACTGTTATCTGTACTCACTCTACTTGTTGAATATCTATTTGTTTTGCCTGTAAGGCAGAGCGTACCATTACAGCCATACTGAATGCATGCTCTCCCGTGATTCATTCCTTCAATAAGTTTTCTTTGTTTTTAATATCAAATTAGAGTATTAGTCCGGTGACTTTACTAGGACAGTAGTGATTATTGTCTCACAGCAAATGCACTGGAATGGCTTTGTTGCTTCGGGCCTTTATTAGCAAGTTCTTATTTTGTCTTACACAATTACACAGAGTACAATCTTTAGGTATACAGCTTTTTCAATTAGTCGTTTTTTGTCTTCGTCTTATTTGATCTCTGTCCTAGTTATCTAGTGCTGCTGTAACAGAAATACCACAAGTGGATGGCTTTAATAGAGAGAAATTTATTTCTTCACAGGAAGTAGGCTAAAAGTCCAAATTCAGGGCGTCAGCTCCAGGGGAAGGCTTTCTCTCTCTGTCAGCCTTCTCGTCAGTCTTCCCCTGGACTAGGAGCTTCTCCGCACAGGGACCTCAGGTCTAAAGGACGCGCTCTGCTCCAGGCACTGCTTTCTCGGTGGTATGAGGTCCCCTTATATCTCAAGAACTTGCCTGAAGACACAATCCAGTCTCGTAGATTGAGTCCTGCCTCACTAACACAACTGCTGCCCATCCTCCCTCATTAACGTCATAGAGGCAGGATTTACAACGTATAGGAAAATCACACAATACTGGGAATCACGGCCCAGCCAAATTGATATGCACATTTTTTGGAGGACATAATTCAATCCATGACAATCTCACAGCAGCAAAACACACTTAAACATATCCTCCTTGAAACACCTTCTCTTGGCTTCCACCTTTGGTTTTCCTCTCATTTCATTGGCTATTTCTTATCAGTCTCCTTTCTTTGCTCTTCCTTTGCCCAACCTCTAAATGTTGGCTTGCTCCAGGACCCAGTCCTGGCACCCTTTCACTTTTTTGTCTACCTCTTGTTCCCGTGTATCTCACCCAATCCTAGGATTTACTTGCTATCTATAGACAGCGACTCTCAAATATTTGTATCTCAACCGTGATCTAACCTTAAAATTTGGTTTATACCGAATAACCACTTGATATATCCACCTGGATGTCTAATGGGCAACTATTCATGAGTAACATCAGGCCAGGACTCTGTCTTCTCACAGTACTGTTTCCCTGGTAACTACAAAATTAAGGTAACTGTGGAATGCTCTGTCTGCCTTGTGTGCTGTGAGTCTGTTGATCCACAGGACTATGCTTGGACTGAGAGAGCTGTGAGTTAGCATGCAGGCCTTGGGACTGCTGTGACTATAATAGTATAAAAGACTGGTGGGAAAGTGAGGCTGCAACTTGTCTGTGTCAAAGTGACCTCAGTGTAGGTAAGGGGCAAAAGAAGCTGTGCACTTGAGTGGCTGCTAAGCCTCCCGATGACACTATGCATGCTGTATTTCCTGTCCTGTGTTCTTCTATACAGCATACTAAGCATAGTATTAAAGTAAAGCTGATTGCATTTCATGAGTCTGATTGTCAGTTTGAGCTGGTAACCACTGCTGTGTCAGTGCCACATCTGAAACTTTAGTCTCCAAAACAGAATTCTTGGTTATCTCCCCTGGCCCTATACCTGCTTCTCCCTTAGTCTTTCCCATCTTGGCGAAGAACACCATCTTCTTCCCAATTGCTCAAGCCTGAAATTTAGGAATCGTTACTAAGTCCTTCATTTCCCTTGCTCCTCACATAGAACCCATCAACAAGTCCTGTTATCTCTTGCCAAGACCTATCCCAAATCTATTCACTTCTCTTCAACTCCACCATCACCATCATCTCTCCCCTGAACCACCACAGCCTTTTAATTGACCTCCCTACATTTATCTGACTATCTCCACAAACCAACGAAATGGACTTCCCACTGCCCTTAGAATAAAATCCAAGCCCCTTTTCCTGATTTACACGGATTTATAAGATTTGGCCCTGCTCACCTCTGACCTGGTCTCCTACCAAATTCCTCTTTGTCTATCC